GGATGATGGGACCGGCAAGGTGTGCAGGCTGGAGAAGGCCATCTATGGCTTGAAGCAGGCTCCTCGTGCATGGTACCACAAGCTGGAGGAGACACTGCTGGCTGGGGGGTTCAAGAAGAGCGAGTGTGATCACAGCTCCTGGTGTATGTGGATGACACCCTTCTCTTCTCTGAGTCGTCTACAATGATTGAGCGTGTGGAGGAGATGCTAGATATGCATTTCAAGTGCTCGAAGATGGGAGATGTGAAGTATTACCTTGGGATGCATGTGGAGAGAGAACTTGACAAGGGAGTGTTGAGGTTAAACCAGAGGAAGAACTGTGAGGGGCAGGCTGAGAAGTATGGGCTGCAAGATGGAGGAAAGCCAGCCACCCCACTACCTTTAGGTTTCACTGTGGAGCCCTGTGCTGATGAGGAGGTGGTGGGTGAGAGCGACAGGAAGCTGTTCCATTCCATGGTTGGGGCACTCAACTATGCGGCAAACCACACACGGCATGACATTGCATTTGCTACATCCAGTCTTCCAAGTGTGGTCTCACGCCCCAGTCATGAGCAGTTGGAAGCGGCCAATAGGTTGGTTCGCTATGTGAGTGCTACAGCATCTGTGGGTTTGGAGTACAGTGCTGTGAGGCAAAGGCAGCAGCGGGGTGCTGCTGATTTGGGCAAGGGGAAGATGCTCTTGACTTGCTACACCGATGCCAGCTTCAACTCTGTGAAGGCAGATGGCACCAGCATTGGAGGTTATGTGTGCCTGTTTGGAGGTGGTGCAGTAAGCTGGCGCAGCAAGAAGCAGAACGAGGTGGGGCTGTTCTCGTGTGAGGCCGAGTACATGGCCCTTCATCATGGGGTGAAGGAGGTGGTGTGGCTGAGGAGTTTGTTGGAGGAGATTGGTGTTTGTCAGAGGGAGCCGACTATGATGTTCTGTGACAATGAGTCAGCTGTGAAGCTGGCCAAGAATGCATGTCTTCGTGGGCTGACAAAGCATATCAGGCCCAAGTGGCACTGGGTGAGGAGGCTCCAGGACAAGGAGGTGCGGCTGGAGATTGTGAAGACCCATCAACATGCGGTTGACATTCTCACCAAGCGCCTGGCTGAACATGAGCACTGGAAGGGCATGAAACTTGCTGGGATGAGTGTGCATTGATTGTGCATGCATGAGCTGAGGCATGTGAGGTGATGGTAGGCAGCCAGAGGGGGAGTTTGTTATGTGATGCTATCATTTGCCTCCCATCATATGTTCGTGCGTTGCATGCGTGGTGTGTGCGTGCGTAATAATTTGTGTTTGGCATGGTTTGGATTTTCTGAGTATGTGTGTGAATGTTATTTGTCTTGTGCAGATATCTGAAGTGACTTCTCTGCTCAAGAGCTTTCCGACGAACCAAGAATCGCCGTGATCGGAGCAAGAACGAGAAAGATATGATCGTTCGAAGTTTTGAAGGTGATGCGGCGACTATGGGAATTTGTGGGTTGACTCAATATGGGCTACAGACTTTTTGGGGTTGGGAAATAGGTCACCATCACTGAAGATGATGCCAAGTGGTTGGGAGAAGCCAAACCAGGTTGGCAAGTGTGGCCAAGTTGGGTGAGGTGGATGGCATGAGTTGGGAATGTGACAAATGTCAAAGTTGGGGTGCCTATAGAGAGGGGAACTGTGTGGTATGGGGTTTCCTTGGTTGGGGACTCCCTAGGGACCTTCCCTCTCGTCCTCCTCATGCCCTTCTACTTGGTTCTTTCTACTAAAACTTTCTTGTGTAAACTTGTGAGATAATTGTAATTGAGTTAAGTTTCTATGGCAGCATACCCCCTAGTGCGCCGAACTTCATAACTCGAGTTATGCTCCATATTTTGATACAATTCAATTTGGGAACAATAGTAACGATCAAGGGCTACAACATACTCGAGTTTGAGCGAATTCTGACTGTGCGTGTTAGGTCGACGACGTCTCTTGTGACAACGACGTTTCTGTCCAGAATTATAGTTGACAATTTGAGATATTTCGGCCCTTAATCTTCATAGACTCCTGCCCTAGTCTCTAACACAAATAGCATGTCAAAATTCAGGGTTACATGGTTACCATTTGCCTGTAAGCTGGTCCAGGTTGTTATCGTTGCCATAAAAACTTTTTTTTTGTGTGATCAGCTATTTATTTAATATGATTGATACACAAAAATTGGCCCACGACTCTATACCCCACAAAAATTGACCCACGACTACATACCCCACAAACATGGACCCCACCCCTGAAAAGAACTCCTATGTACAGTAGCTGGTGGCTTTAGGCCTGTGCAGGCACTATCGGAGCAGTAGGGATCTTGTCATCAGCATCGCTCATCTCAGACCCGACAATCTCTGTGGGCAATGCCCTGACCTGCTATGGAGGAGGGAAAGCGATGAGCACACGGAAGTGGGTGCCCGTGCTAAACTGGTACGCCCCCTCCTCAGGGTCCCAGCGTGGCCCCTGGGGAGTGCCATGCGTGCGTACGATGGCATCCCTGTTAGAATGCTAAGCACCTAGGAAACTAGGTGCATGCTTAGGAGGCTTAGGAGCCATGCTAGGGTGGAGTGTCGAGGGTGTTTGGGCAAGGAGAAAAATGGTTTCACTATAGAAACTGGAGTACAAATAGGGTAGGAAAGGTGGGTACACCACCAAGTAGGAAGGTAGGATAACTACACTAAGGCTAGAACTACATGCAGTTATAATATAATTCTGACATCCCCCCTTAACTGCATGCAAGAAGAGCCAAGTGCTAGACACAACCTGCAGGGGTACACCAAGCAGAACAAAGCAGCAGCATGCAAGAGCAGTGACAACCAGTGCAATAGTGGCAGATACAGTTGCAGCAACCCCGCAGCCAAGGTAGAAGCAGCAGAAACAGGAGCGTGCGGCGGCAAGGGCGACGGCACAGCAGCAGTAGGTGCATGTGGCGGCAGGCCGCCTGGAGAGCAGGAGCGTGCGGCACAAGCGGTGGCGGCACAGCTGGGCTCAACGGCAGCACCTGCCGCACAACAGCAACAGAAAGTCAAGACAAGCAAAGTGGCGACCGGGGCTGCAGCTGGAGGTACCACGGGAGCAGAGGGTGGTAGTTGCAGATGATGGGGGGGGGGCTGCTTCGTCCGCCACACTCTGTCGTCCCCCCTTAACCGCTCTCATCCCCCCTACACCTCGCTCCTCCCCCCCCCCCCCCCCCACACAGCAACATGTGCAGCAGTGGGAGAGAGAGGAGGAGAGGCGGCAGCAGGTCACCCACACCCGCCACCCCCATACCCTCCCCCCACTACTGCACCTGCAGCAGGGGGAGGGAGAAGAAGGGGGGGGGGGGCGGGGGGGGGCTGGTGCTGCAGATCCCCTCCCCCCCACTGCTGCACCCGCAGCAGGGGGAGGGAGCAGAAAGGGGGGAGGGGGGGGGCGGGGGGGCTGGTGCTGCAGATCCCCTCCCCCCCACTGCTGCTCCACAATCCTTCACCCCCCAGGGATGGAGGAGAAAGGGGGGGCGGGGGGGGCTGGTGCTGCAGATCCCCTCCTGGCTCCCCCTGAACCTCCAAGCTCCCCCCCCCCCCCCCCCTCCCAACACAAGGTGCGGCAGGGAGAGAGAGAGGAGGCATGGCGGCAGCTGCTGCTGCTGAGGCACATCTGCCACCCCTTCACACCCTCTCCCCCCCGTCCCCATGGAGGGGGAGAAGGGGGGGGAGGGGGGCGGGGGCAGAGTTGCGCGTGCAACTGCAGGGCACAAGGGCAGGAAGAACCCCCTCTTGCCACCCCCTTACCCTCCATGATGCGACAGGGCACCAGGGCCGCGGCCAGGGGCGACATGTCGCGAGGGGCCGAGGCTAAAGGCGACGGGGCCGCGGTTACGGGCGGCAGGTCGCGAGGGGCCATGGCTAGGGGCTACGGGGCCAAAGGGCCGAGGCGACGCAGCTAGGGTCGACGGGGCCAATGGGGCCGAGGGGCGCGGCTAGGGGCGACGAGTTCAACGGGGCCGAGGGGCGCGGCTAGGGTCGACGAGGCCAATGGGGCCGAGGGGCGCGTCTAGGGGCGACGGGGGCGACGGGGCCAACGGGGCCGAGGTGCGCGGCTAGGGGCGACGGGGTCGACGGGGCCAACAAGGCCAAGGGGCGCGGCTAGGGGCGACGGGGCCAACGGGGCCGAGGTGCGCGGCTAGGGGCAACGAGGTCGATGGGGCCAACGAGGCCGAGGGGCGCGGCTAGGGGCGACGGGGCCAACGGGGCCAACGGGGCCGAGGGGCGCGGCTAGGGGCGACGGGGCCAACGGGGCCGAGTGGCGCGGCTAGGGGCGACAGGGTCGACGGGGCCAATGGGGCCGAGGGGCGCAGCTAGGGGCGACGGGGCCAACGGGGTTGAGTGGCGCGGCTAGGGGCGACGGGGTCGACGGGGCCAACGGGGCCGAGGGGCGCGGCGAGGGGCGACGGGGCCAACGGGGCCGAGGGGCTCCAGCTAGGGGCGACGGGGCCAAGGGGCCGAGCCTAGGGGCTAGGGGCGACGCCAAGGGGCGACGGGCCGGGGCCTAGGCTAGCAGGGTAGTAGGTGGTGGGCCCATGAATGTGAGGTCCTAGGAACGACCTACTCTGATAGCATGTTAGAATGCTAAGCACCTAGGAAACTAGGTGCATGCTTAGGAGGCTTAGGAGCCATGCTAGGGTGGAGTGTCGAGGGAGTTTGGGCAAGGAGAAAAATGGTTTCACTATAGAAAGTGGAGTACAAATAGGGTAGGAAAGGTGGGTACACCACCAAGCAGGAAGTTAGGATAACTACACTAAGGCTAGAACTACATGCAGTTATAATATAATTCTGACAATCCCGCATCCAGTTGACCACGATCGCGTGCACGCGGTCCGAAGTGTGGATGTTTGGAGTGTCCTTGGTGGGCAGTCCAGCCTGTTGCGATCATGATGCACAACAGGGTACTCCGCCTGCCATAAGAGAGGATAATAGGATGTGTTAGTGTCATAGCGTGTGGTCATCAACATGGTAACTCAAATGGTTCTACAGAGCACTCACCCCATACAAGGCGAACGCCAGCGTGTACGGGTAGATACGCAGCACCTTGCGCGACAAGAGGCGCCAGTAGGCAGCAGCAATGAAGATCTCAAACTCGTCAACACTGAAGGGCAGGCCGTCCTCGTTGCAGTGCCATGGCATTGAGTACCCAGTTGAGACAGTGAGAATGAAACAATGAAGGGTGGGGTGTGGCAGAAGCACAAGGAGAGGTTAGCAAACTGCAATGGCACCAACACATTCACGAAGAGCTTGCTGGAATGGGCACTCAAACAACAACACTCACCAATAGAGTATGCCTCAAATGCCGTGCGAGGAATGCGATACACCATATAGGTGACCACCTTCTAGGGCACCTCTTTGGGCATCTCCGCCACGTGGTGTGGAATGCCCAAAAGCGGAAGAGGACAGTCTTGCCCACGCGGGTGATGCCACCGGGCATGCGAGCCGCGACTGCCGACCAGGTGGTGCTGCGCTCTGTCGAATGGTTGAGGCAGTACAGCGGCCTCTCCTTCTGGTTCTCCCAGACAGCGCCCGTAGCCGCACTCCACTGCACCACCAGCTTGTGGTCCGGCCACATGTTGAGACCCTTGTCACCAGTTCCATCACCTTCGGTGATGCATTTCTGAAACACTGCCACACATCGGGACTACAACACAGAAGGGTGGCATACATAAAGGAATAATAGCACATGGGGGACATCAAGTCAATTCACGGAGACCGCAATGGCAGATATATGGGACATACTGTCATATGTGGTGATAAGATACAGTAAAGCGAGAAAATCAGCGGCAACTACTGTCAATCACAGGTGTTGTGAAGGCGAGTTCTTACCGAGAGCTTAGATGGCTCCATGATAGCTGCCATCGCGCGCTTCAACTCTGAGGCGTGCGTTGCATCCTCCGTGTCGTTGGAGCCAGAACCACTGCCAGTACAGGTGCCGGAGCGAGTCCCATTGTTCGGCGCAAATGGGGCAGTGGGGAGTCCGGAGGCCTGCAGCGCCGCAAGCGTGGCGTGCACTGCCTGCTGCAGGTCCAAGCTCTGCTACACCAACGAATTGAGGCCCTTCATGGCTTCGTTTGACTCCAGCAGAGCGCGCTTCATGTCTCCAACCTGGGACTGAATTGCCCTCACAGCGTCGCCAATGCCATCATCCGCGGCGCCCTCCCAGCCGTAGTTGCGAAAGGACCTTGGGGTGTCGGGTGCACCATCAACAAACGCTGCCTTGCTACTGAGCCTGTTGACCTCACTGACACGCCCTGCAACGGTCCCAAACAGGTAAACGTGGGTCAACAATCATTGGCGAGGTCCCGAAAAGCGCGAGCAAAACGCATGAATACCGACCGAATTTCTGACTTGCAGACGCATCGTACCTGAATTGGTGTCATCGGTTCCCACTTGCTGACACACAGACTGCTGGCTGAACCCTTTCTGCACCGTGGGGGCTTGCGCGCCTTTCTTTCATTTCCTTGTTTCACGGATACAAACCGGATGTTAATACGAGGTGCATCAGAAATCAATACATTGGCTAGGTTTAAAGGCTTGCGCATATGCATACTTTGCACACTTACCGTTCCGCACCATACCCAGCTTCGCCCTCACGGGTGGACCATTCGTCACCATGGTTGCCCCTCTACCCGCTCCTGCGTTGCCAATGGAAACATCCCTGTCGTCGTCCTCTTGCTCTATGTCATCTGCCACGATAAACAAATACTCATCAGAGGAGGAGTTGTAGGGCAAATGCAACATCGTGTAGGCTGGACATATTTTAAAATACGAATATTCTTACCGTATTCGTCTTCCTGCACGGCCTCGTGCTGGTTGCTACGGGTTGTCGTGCGCCTTGCGACATACTGCTGCCATTCGTTGTGCTCTCGCTCCGTCATGTCAAGGGTCCGCGTTCCGGTATCCCCAGCGCGACCTTGTTGAGCACCACGCGCGAGGCCGTGCTCCCATTTGGACAACGGAAACATGGTGCTCGGCAGACGGGGCCGCTTTCCCGCTTGTCCTGCGCTCATGTCAATGTCAAGCTGCTGAGTGGCCATAGCGTAGAGAGAGAAACGAGCTAGTTAATGGATAGGTGGAGTGCACAGGCAGTGGGTGCGTGTGTATTTGTATCGCGAACAATTTGCGCGCCAATGGGTGGTTGGGGTTGTGTGTGCCAAAGGCCTAATAGGTGATAGAAATGCATGGGGTGTGAAGGGGTTCGAGAAACCGCGTTACGGTGTAGTACGTTACGGAACGTTATTTCACCGTCGTAGTGGTGTTAGGGTTTCCGACTTAGCAAATTGTGAACCCATCACCGTATACGGTGCAGTGGTTTACGGCTCGGTAATAAAAGGTGTTTAGCTTAGTGCGTTACGGTAAGCAACATCACAAATTCGGTGGTGTTTGGTGCTCCGACTTTGACGTTCAAGCGTGAACCCATCACTGGATACGGTGTAGTGCTCTACGGTACGTTATTTCGAGTTCTTTAAGGTTTGAGGGGTTTCGACTTAGCAAACCACCACAAACCCATCACTGAACGGTGCCCTCCGTATTGGTATGGTAATTCGCTTTCAAAGTCGGTGGTGTTTGGTGCTCCGACTTAGGACGTTCAAACGTGAACCCATCACTGTATACAGTGCAGTGATTTACGGTTCGGTAATAAAAAGGTGTTTAGCTGAGTGCGTTACGGTAAGCAACATCACAAAGTCGGTGGTGTTTGGTGCTCCGACTTTGACATTCAAGCGTGAACCCATCACTGGATACGGTGTAGTGCTCTACGGTACATTATTTCGAGTTGTTTAAGGTTTGAGGGGTTTCGACTTAGCAAACCACCACAAACCCATCACTGAACGGTGCCCTCCGTATTGGTACGGTAATTCGCCAAGTCAGTGGAGTGAGGGGTTTCGACTTCAACACCCAATCACAAACACATCATTGTATTCATTCAGCACTGGACCAATCAGATTGGTGCGATGTGGGGGATCAACGGGCGCCGTTGATAAGAGCAGCGCGGGACAAGGATATTAGCAAGTAAAGTTTAACTTGCATATCGACGGCTACGAAAAGGGCATGTGGAAATCTACGGTCTCAATTCCAACCATTGGCTCCTCATCATGTTCTCAACCTCTCACTCCACACCGTATCATCTCGGCAGCGCATAGTAGGGGCTGAAAGGGGCCCAGACTGTGCGACATTAGCAGTTCATTCATTTCATACACAAGGCACGCTTCCTAGTTAGTTAGCACTCAGCAACGCACCTCATACGATTCCAGCGATGGGAGCCACAAGAAATAACGCCAAGCCTGAGATTGTAGATGATTCACAACCCGTTGCAGATGCAGTACCCGGTAACGACGAGGGAACTGACAAGAACGACGAGAATTGGTGGGCGTCACCAGAGAGCGAGGACCCGTTATTCGCTTGCTTCGGCCTGCATGGAGTTCCGCGTCGTAAGGGCATAGCGCTGTCAAGTTATATGTGGGCTAAGGATCCGGCGCCCAAGCCTGCTAACCTTCCACGCGTTAATCTACGCCGCCCCACCAAGATAGAGCCCGAGGACATCGCACCTCCCAAGCGCGTTCGCAAATCGGGGGGGTAGCCTAAGAGGCTTCGAGTCAGCTCGCCGGGTGAATGCACCTTTGGCGAGTGCCGGAGTCAACGACGCGACAGTACGTATGCATGAGTGGTATTGTAATGTGTTCAGTTGTATGTATTTATAGTATGTCATCTTTAGCGCGCGAGGTACACCTTACCGTTGGAATGTTGCGCCAATGATGCAAGCGGAGAGGGAGTTGTCGTCGCACACGGTGGCGTGCACTGCACTTACGATCGGTATGACGCGATTTAGAAAGCTTGCTTTCTTATACCTATCATTTGGCATCGTTCTTATTCCGACCCACGATTTGTAGTTGGAGAAGGGCTTTTAGCGTGCTTCGACGATGGAAAATCTGCGTTACAGGCGGTTGCGCTTTCGAAATACGTCATTCTAAAAATCAATTCGTGTGTTTAAATTTTAACATTTCATGAAGTTTGCAGAGCTTCTGCTGCCCTGCAAATGGTGCAAGGACAACCATGCAGTTTAGGATGGTTGGTTTGATTGTTCAAGATGCATGCGCACGGAGTTGTGATGGTGGTTTAAGCTACTTGCATGGGTAGTTGATCTCTAGAGTCAGTTGTGTGTAGCAGGTCTGACGCTGAACTTGTGGGTAGTAGATATTTAGTTTCAATCGTGCGGCATTATGTATGTTAATTTTTGTTTGCCTAAAGTTAGTGTCAGAATATATTTTTGTATAACTGCATGTAGTTCTAGCTGAAGTGTAGGTATATCACTGTCCTGCTTGTGCTGCACCCCCTCCTTACTTGTCTCTTGTATAACTTGGGCCTTTGGCCCTTTAGTGAATCATTCTCACTTTCTCAATTTTCTCCTTGGCCTGAACTCTCTCGACACCTTTGGCTAGCTCACACCCTACCCATGGCTCCTATTTTGACATGGTATTAGAGTGATTACGACCCTTGGGCCCACCACCTGCTGCCCTGCGCGCCGCCCTCCTCTCGACGTTCGGCACAGCCCGTCGCCCATAGCACCTAGGCCCCGGCCCGTCGCCCCGCGCCCGTCGCCCCTAGCTCTCGGCCCCGGCCCGTCGCTCGCGCCCGTCGCCCCTAGGCCCGTCGCCCCTTGGCCCGTCGCCCCTAGGCCCCGGCCCCTAGCCCGTCGCTCGCGCCCGACGCCCCTAGGCCCCGGTCCCGGCACGTCGCCCGTCGCGCGTCGACCCTACGCCCGTCGCCCCTAGACTCCGGCCCCCGGCCTGTCGCTCGCGCCCGCCACCCCTAGGCCCCGGTCCCGGCACGTCGCCCGTCGCGCGTCGCCCCTACGCCCGTCGCCCCTAGACTCCGGCCCCCGGCCTGTCGCTCGCGCCCGCCGCCCCTAGGCTCGTCGGCCCCGTCGCCCGTCGCTCCCCTAGGCCCGGCCCCGTCGCTCGACGCCCCTAGGCCCCGGCCCCTAGCCCGTCGCCCCTCGGCCCGTCGCCCCTAGGCCCCGCCCCGGCCCCGGCCCGTCGCCCGTCGCCCGTTGCCACTCAGCTCGTCGCCCCGGCCCGTCGCCCCTAGGCTTGTCGCCACGGCCCGTCGCCCCTAGGCCCGTCGCCCCTAGCACGGCCCGTAGGCCCGTCGCTCCTAGCCCGGCCCGTCGCCCCTAGCCCACGCGCCCCGGCCCGTTGCCCGAAGCCCCTACGCCCGCGACTGACGCCCCCCCCGCCCCCCCCCCCCCTTCTCCTCCATTCCCCTGCTGTGGGTGCAGCAGTGGGGGGGAGGGGATCTTCAGCACCAGCCCCCCAGCCCCCCTTTCTCCTCCATTCCCCTGCCGCGGGTGCAGCAGTGGGGGGGGAGGGGATCTGCAGCACCAGCCCCCCCCCCCCCCCCCCCCACCTTGTCCTCCGTCCCCCTGTTGTGGGTGCAGCAGTGGGGGGGAGGGGATCTGCAGCACCAGCCCCCTCCCCCCCCCCCTTCTCCTCCATCCCTCTGCTGCGGGTGCAGCAGTGGGGGGAGGGGATCTGCAGCACCAGCCCCCCCGCCCCCCCCCCTTCCCCCTTTTCTCCTCCATCCCCCATCTGCAGGTGCAGCAGTGGGGGGCAGGGTATGGGGGTGGCGGGTGTGAGTGAACTGTTGCCGCCTCTCCTCCTCTCTCTCCCACTGCTGCACATGCCGCTGTGGGGAGGGGGGGGGGAGGGTGTGGGGGAGTTGAGGGAGTGGCAGTAGGGATGCTGAGGGGTGTGACAAGGAGGTTTTGGGGAATGGGGAAAGTTGTAGGGGGGTGGGCGCAGTGAAGCCAGCAGCTCCAGTCGCCCGTGAAACCGTTGCGCCAGTTGCCCGTGAGCCCGTTGCTCCTGTAGCCCGTGAGTCAGTTGCTCCTGCCGCTCGCTTAGCCGCGGAGCCTGTTACTCCAGTTGCCCATGTGCCAGTTGCTCCATTTGCCAGTGTGCTAGTTGCTCCAGTTGCCCGTGTGCCAGCAGCTTCAGCCGCCACCCACCACCTCCTCTCCTCTCATGGTCCCTCCTCTTCGCTTGCCCTCTCCTTCCTCCACTGCGCCTGGTGTACCCCTTCATGGGGTGTTATGCACATGGCTATTCCTGCATGCAGTTAGGGGGTGTGTCATAATATATTTCTGTATAACTGCATGTAGTACTAGGTGAAGTGTAGTTATATCACTGTCCTGCTTGTGGTGCACCCCCTCCTTACTTGTCTCTTGTATAACTTGGGCCTTTGAACATTTAGTGAATCATTCTCACTTTCTCAATTTTCTCCTTGGCCTGAACTCTCTCGACATCTTTGGCTAGCTCACACCCTAGCCATGGCTCCTACTATTTTGACAGTTAGAACGCAAGTTGTAATCATATATTTATGCGGAAAAACAAACTACTACCCAAATAGTGAGTACAACTCTCTAACGAGTATACGATACTTCCTTTGTGTAGTATCCGTTAATAGATTGGCTCCCCATCCTATTGGTGCTGCTACGTGAGAACCCTGAGATGTCAAACTAAAGAACGAGAATGGATAAACTAAGAAAGAGTTGGGTACAAGTACTAACCCTAATTGGGTTGTACCCCTTATGGGCTACCCCACTATAACCCTAATTGGGTCAAACACCAAGTAAGCTATATAAAATTCTGACACACCCCCATAGGCAAAGTGGGGGAGAACAAGTGGTCACAAGACCAGTGAAGAAAAACAAAGCAAGCTCAGGGTGGATCACAAAGTCACCA